CAGGCCCTGGGTTAAGAAAACTTCTGAAAGTGATCCTGCTAGATGGGCTGGCTCGGACCCAACGCCCCGCCCAGCCGTCAGTAGGCTCCACCCTCTTCCCGCCCCAGGCACCGCCCCCTCCCTCATTGCCTGGGAGCTGCCCAATCCCCGACCCCGGTTTAGCCTAACTCCGCCCCCGACCGCCCCGCCTCGCCCCTCTGTTTCCCTGGAGACGCTCTAGGCGTCCCCTCTCTCTGCCCAGCRGTGCCAGGAAACTCCACGGGAGGAGGGGGCGGCGTCGGCACCCTGCACCTGCCACCGGAGGGGACTCACTTCTGCAGAACGGAAAACCAGAGCTGCTCCCTAGGGCCAGTTCTCCGAGGTTCGTGACGCTGGGGGCGAGACTGGGGACAGGGCTTTCTCAGCTCCTCGTTGAGGTGGGCTGTTCTTTCCAGGCAGTCCGTTCCCCAGCCCCGAGACCTTTCTYCATCAGTGGGTCTCAGGCTCCCTAAGTTGAGGCCCTAGTCAATTCATTCAAAAACAATCAAAAAGACTAGAGAAAGGCGCTATTCTTGCCCCCCAATTCACCTGACCCTCTCAGAACCATGAAAAAATAAATAAACAGGTGTAGGAAAAAGTTGATAGGCATGAATTCTTTTTGCTCTTTCAAGGAGCATAATTTTTGTGATATTTCTTCTGTAGTTTTCTTAAAACTTTCTTAGAACTAGGAGAGAACAAAAAGGGGATTAAACTGTTTTCTGTTGGGGTGAAGAAAACTCCATCTCAAAAACTTAAGAGAACAAACAAGTGATTATCCCTAATATCACATTTGTATTGTACTATATCAGTACACACACATATTTCAGGTGTTTTGATATTTCATCAAATTAGTGATAAGTTTCATTGGGTCTACACTTTGTGTGGTTTATTTTTAACAGTGATTCATTTAAATACGTAGTAGGAACATATACAAATACTAGGTACAAACACATAATATTTGTTGTATGAATGAACCTTATTGCATGCTTAGGGTGGCAGAGGAGTTCTTCTGTTGACCGAATTTTTAATTTTCCTTCTCTCTTTACTATTTTATTTTTCTTCCTGATTTCCAGGCTGAAGTCTGTAAGCCTAGAGAGARCTTCAGCAGTAATTTGCAAATGTAAGTTAGGTGAAACGTGGCCTGCCTTCAAACACTTTTCCGACTCTCTGTTTTGATCTAACCATCAATAAATGTCAGTTGGCAGGAAATGTGTGATTTCTATTTACTTAACAACCTATGTAATTATCCACCACAGGATGCTATAAGCATCCAAAAATTATGATGCAAGGGATAAACATTATTTATTGACTTCTTAAAATCATTCGTGTGAATTCTTTTTTGCTCTTTCAAGGAGCATGATTTGTTAGATTCTGTAGTTTTCTTTAAAGTTTCATAGTAAAAGAGCTTGTGGTGATGGTATGAAAAGTTTTCATTCTTCTGGATGATTTTTGTACATAGTAGCAAAATCATATTTATTCTTAACTCTTTTGATGATTGATATGCATGTATATTTATGTATCTATCTATATATCTACATATACATATTATATATATATATATATATATATACATATTATGGTATTATATATACATATTATATATATACATATTGTGGTTTATGAGTTTTAATTCTCTCATCCCAGCTTTTATCCCAAAATGGCTGAACTCTGGGGACATTGGTCCACCTCAGACAGTCCCTCCCTAAGTAGCCTCTGCCTACAAAGTAGTAGTACCCCCTCACACACCCTTTGTGTTTTCTGATGAGGGCATCTCTGGGGATAGTGGAAAGGAGGGTTACTCTTTGAAGAATTTTACTTGGGGGCCAGAAATTTAAACTCACACCGTGGGACACTTTCAGCCTGACCCAGAACTCTCAAACCTTTCATCCTGTATTCTCCATTCTCATTTGTCTTTGCATGTGGGGGCCAAACTTAGAGACTGTAACCGCTGATACAAGAACCAACCAGCAGATCAAAGAATGCACCAAATCTCTTCTGAATACCAACAGTGGAATGGCTTTAGGCGGCCTTTTGATCTCTGTCTCAGCCCCATGGTGCCACATGTAGCACAGCCCACTTACTGGCACTGAGGGGGCAGCCTCTGGGTCCTCCTAACAGACTGCTTCAGCTTGGGTTCCTGGGGCTAAGCTCATTTTGATACCAGCCAGAGAGGTACCTCTTATTCTGCTTTTCTCTTACTCACCTGAATCTGAGCAATTCCCCTTGTTGTAATCACTCTACCCTGTGTTTTCCTCTGCGGTGATGAGCTGGGAGAACCCCCGATAGCCAAGAGCGATGTGCTCCATTTCTGCTGTGGGTCAAAGTCAGTCACCACACAGCAGCACTCAACCCATTTTTCACAGCTGAGACTAGGTTGGAGCTCACCTAGGAATCGGGAACACTGGCCGACACTAGGAAAGCCATGTAGCTCAGATTAACAAAGAGCAATAGGCTTCTTCACTCTACAGGTATAATTAAAGCCTCAAATGACGGGCTCCTAAACATACTTTCATTTTTTTCTCCTTGTTTTTCTCTTTGGCCGATTCTACTTGCTAGAATATAGTTACTTCCTACTTTCAGAAAATTCAGCATAAACAATACTGAACAAAAGAGATGGTGATTACTTAGATAAGAAAATAATTTGCTATAGGAGCCCACTAAATATGTGGTGTATTTCAAACATTACGTGCATCATGAAATTCAGATCACACATCATCTATTATGTAAAATAAAGTACACTTATGTGCCCATGTGTTATTTATGAAGAACAAAATATCCTTGCCCAACAGGCATAGGCAAGGTAAGAGGTGGGGTTTAGAGCAGGGAGAGAGTCTGCTCAATTTCCACCCCAACTCTGAGCTTAAACTTTCCAACCTAGATTGGCTGAGGGATATTTTTCCAGCATGCAGCTAATAACTTTTTTCCCATTTTATAATTCTGCTCTGACCGCCCCCCCATTCAGAGTTTGTGCCTTGAGGCTTGCCAGCAGGGCTTGCAATACTTACATTAAACTAAATTTAAGAGTAAAGGTGCTCCTGCTGCTCATGTTCTCAGATCAGAGGAGAGCAAAATGAAGGAACTGGCAGCTGAAACTTTAATGGTTGAAAACGTTGACTCAGAATTTGAAAAAAAAAAAAAATCTCGGTTGATCTGGGTGACAAAGAAGACATGTTGCTCTCCGTGTACATCATTTGCATTTGATTTCATTAGATGCTTGTATTTCTAGCCAAAAAATTGTCTAACCCAAGTAAACATCAAAGAGGATAGATTTTATATAACATACTGGTAGGCCAACTTTTGCAGCGGATTATAAGCACCTTGATGGGAATTATTGGCTGGATCAGAGCTTCTGCAGTCTGTTTCCTCTCTCTGCAAGTTGCTGAATCTTCTCAGTATTGGGGAAGTTTCTTGGTGAATCCTTTGACTGCCCCTGCAAAGGAGCAGAGATCGCTCTGCCCCCGCCGCACATTACATCATGCCTGGTAAGGCAAAGTGGGGACCTCAGAACGGTTTCAACTCGCAGAGGCTGGAATGTCCTGACTCCAGGTAGCACAGCTGTTGACTCCTTCTCTCCCATTTGAAATCTACTAGGGCTGGGTAGGTGAGATTTAAAAACTGAGTTGGCTCAAAGTTACTCTGTCACATCAGAAGACTCTGGTCTTTAGAGCTTCCCTGAAGTAAAGCATAGGAAATGGATTTAGGAGACTTTGATGTCTCTCAGACCTGTCCATGGAGTTTAACCCTAAGTTGGTCAGAAATTCTTGACACATGTTCTGCATAATGTTGCCATTTAGTAAATTCTAATCATCCTAATCCAGAGTTACTATTAATATAATATTTGGTCAGAAAAAGATTTTTTTTTGGGGGGGGTACCAGGAATTGAACTCAGGTGCACTTGCCCACTGAGTCACATCCCCAGCCCTATTTTGTATTTTATTTAGATACAGGGTCTCACTGAACTGCTTAGTGCCCCACTTTTGCTGAGGCTCGCTTTGAACTCGTGATCCTCCTGTCTCAGCCTCCAAAGCCACTGGGATAATAGGCATGTGCCACTGTGCCYGGCAGAAAAAGGCTTTTAACTAAAAGGCATTAAGGCATTATATTATGATGTATGCTATATAATGTAAAGCATTTCTGATGTTTTTTTCTGGAGAAAAGTATTAATGTTTACTGATTAGACTGTAAAACTATAAAACTACTATAAAACTACTGATTAGACTTTAAAACTATAACTGTATAGAAATAAGAAGGCATTATGTTTCATGAAGCAGARCATGGCTTGATAAAACAATATTAGGACTATAATATAAAACATTGATCTGCATTAGACTAATCTTTTTAATTATGTGAAAATTATTTTAAGGCCAAAGTAATAATCTTTTTCAGAAACACAAGATTACCCAAGACTACCCATTTCTACACTGAATTTCAAAAGATTTTTCATTTATGTCATAGTGAAAAACAGTGATCTATTCCAGGTCACAGTGAGATCTTGACACTTCTGAGCTCTAAATCCATTAATAGATTTTTATCTCAATCAGAAACTAGTTTTCAAGACTCTACCCCATCAGGATCCCACCAAAATTCTCCCTAACTTTTTGACCACATCTTCTTCTAAACATTTGAAATCCATAGTTATCCTGAAAACCTTCATGCTTTAATTGCAACCATGTCCCATAACAAAACCGTTACCAAAGCTGCTGATGATCTGAATCTTAGTGAATTTATTGGATTTTCTCCTCATCCACTTGGTGATGAAGATGCAGCTGAGGAATTAATTGACCAAAAATCAGACAGTAGACAGATAATGAGAAGAGAACCTGCAGAATCTACTCACTGAGTATGATTCCCAAGTAACAGAAMAATAGCTCTACCTACAGAGTCATTCTTGACAGACTGGAGATTGTTAATAATGTTGGAAAGGATACTCTGAAGATTTGTTCTTTGAAATATCATTTTGTTTGCTTTTTTTATAGTCCAAAATGACCACTCTGCCCCCAATACTCATGACACGTCCAAAGCTTATAGACTTAGCGAGACAGAAGCTACCATGCTCCTCAAGACTAATTCCAAGGTAAGTGTCCCTTGTTTTCATTTCTTACTGAATAAAATTCTGCAATAAGAGATGACAATAGTGTCTCTAAGAAAATAAGATTGATTAAGGAAAAGAGAAATGTATATATTGTCATATTCAGATTCTCAAATTTGTTGTTTCAAAAGGATTGATGAAGCTCATTCAAATACTAAAGAGGTATTTATTTATCAAACTAGTACTCATTTAATCATCTCACTCCTCATTGCAGCTATGTCAAGGTTCCTATAGAGTTTTGAGATGTTTCCCTTTTTTTATTGTGTGCAGAGAAAAGAAAGGAGAAGCTTTAAGAAATAAAAGCATATGGCTTTTTATCTGTGAGGTCTCAAATGCTGATTTCTGGTTTGGAGAAATGAGGGCGCAGCCTTCCTACTAGGATAGACTGACAGGCTTGCCTTAGGTCCCAAAATGATGCTGGGCCCTCAAAGTGTGTCGTCAAACTGCCGCTTTGAACGGCTGCTGAGCTATTAGAGTTGTCACTGAGAAAATGCAGAACAGAGAACTTGATGCATTTATCATATTTATGAATATTAAGTGAGAATGTGCTACTTTGAAATTGCCATTTGTAATTTTGTTGACTTTTAGTAATACACATATTATTTATCAATATAAATAATTTGCATATGTAAGTTTGACTATTTTCCTTACTGCATACTTCTCAATTCCTGCAAGGCATAATGATCAAAGTATTATGAGACTTCTTTGTTCTCATATCTCATTTTTAGTATTTTKGGGACAGACCAAAGCCCCTGGATCAGAATAAATACACAGCTAAACAAAAATAAAAGTTATTTTAAAGTAGCAAATCAAAATTTTCTTTTTCTATAACTGAGAAATCTTTCAATTGATGCATATGGTTATGTATATGTATGAATGAGTATTTTGTTTTACTTTTGAATACTGTGAAATATTTACAAAATATGAAAAAGCTTGTTCCTACTGTCTTTTTTAATGACTAGAATTACATTTTCTTTTTGAGCTGAGCAAAAACATAACCCAATCTCACATCCTTAAGGTCAGATGAATTGAAAAGAAAACTTCTTCTTGAGGTCTTTTTATTAAAGAAAGAAATKTTATCATTCAGTTAGGGCAAAGTTTTCATAAGCATTCTTTARTAGCTTCTGAATAAAATGCAAATATTTAGAAATGTTTGGTTTCATATCTTCAGAGTTATAAGAGGCTAATAGCACATTTATTTTAAAAGGTGCAAGAGAATGTGAAGAAAGAATACACTGTGAATACATTTCTCAGTAAAGTCTTCTTAAAATCATTTGCATCTTGAACCCCTAATAATAACTTGAATTTTAAGTATAATTAAAAAATTATTTGGGCTGGGGTGTGGCTCAGTGGTAGAGCACTTGCCTAGCATGTGTGAGGCACTGGGTTTGATCCTTGGAACCGCATTAAAAAATAAAATAAAATAAGGGAATTGTGTCCATTTAAAACTACAAAATAGATTTGAAAAAACATTTAAACAGCATTTCAAGGCAAAATTTAATAATGTTTGGGACAAATAAATATTTTACATTGTCAAATAAGTATTTTTCCAAACACAATGTGACTTTTGCATTGGGAAGTTATTCTGCAGAACAGTGTGAACAAGGTAGAAAACCTTACATCAAGGAGAAAACTCCACTTACTTAAGAATATGTATTATTGCCACATGTTGGTGTTTTATTTATTTATAAAACATTGAGCTTAATATTCATCCCTGTTCCATTCAGGAAAATTAAAATTTCTAAATKGTCCATTAACAACCTAACTCCATAGCTATTGCATAATATTTATTATCAATGCTATTGTAGCTGAATATTTCTGTTCTGCTGGTGGCATTTTATGTGTTTGGTAGCTTTCCAACTTCATAAGGCAGTGCTTTATTATTTCTTTCCATTTCACTCAGTGCTCAATTGATCAAAGAAAAAGAAGACATAGATCATTATGTGGAGGTGAATTTCAAAGGATTGTCAAAAGAGGAGGTTGCTGCGTAAGTATAACCTCTTAAAGATACTTTAATACAAAGTTTGTTTCTTTTGTCTTGGTTCTTTATTGAAATTTCAGTTTTCCTGTGCCATACACTTTTTATTGGAACATAGTATTTAAAAATTAAAGATTATATTAAATAGTGATAAGTCATGTCTATTGATCTTGCACATATCAAAGTCTTCAATTTTATGGCTCTCAAAATTCTTATATTTACCAAGATATTCTGCTATCACATTTACAGTATTTAGTTAAGTCTGGGCCAATAATTGCTTATTAACCTTCATTTTAAAGTGTTCTGTCTCAATACAAGAAAAAAGGAGCTATCAAAGAAAGATTTATGTACCTTTTTTGCTGGTAATTAAAAAAAAAACCTTTTATTTGTATATTTTCTTTCCCATACAAGTACCCATAGAATGAATCAATGGATCATAGTTAATTAATTCTTTAAGGAAAAATTAATCTTAAATTGTCTGGATTTATTTTTAAATGTATCATGTAAACTTTACCATTTTATCCCTGGTTAGAATCTAAAATATGGGATGAATAAAAGCAAAATAAAAATCCATGTAGGTTAGTGAAAAATTAATAGAAATTTAAAATAACAACTAAATAGGCTTAGCATTACTTCTATATAGACTTAATGACTCTGTTATAATCAATTTCATTAAACATTAAAAATAGAAATCATATAAATGTACATGCATCTTATGAAATTCATCAAACTCTTCAGTTTTTATGCAATGCTACAATGTTTTATGCAGCTAATGTTTTAAAAAGACTCTCAACATAGTATTAGTATATTGCCTAATGCTATGGGATTCTAATATTTTTGGCACAGGTTTCATATATTCTAAAATTCTAAATCTCTCAATATATTTATTTTTGTTTGATATTATCTCTGTCAATTTGTATAGAATATGGAAAAACAATATAACTCATTCCATCAATAGCTACTTTATAAAATGATCAAATTTTACAGTAACTTTTGTTACTCATTTCTACAGAGCTCCATAGATGCCATAAGTAGCATCTAAAACCTTTGGTTAAATGTTATTCTGACAGTTACTTCACTAACTTTCCATGATCACCTTTTGGATTAAATTAAAGGCCCATATTGTTTGATGGTATAGTTACTAATTTTCTTTCCTTTTTAATTTTTTTATTTGTTCTAATTAGTTATACATAACAGTAGAATGCATTTTGACACATCATACATAAATAAATTACAACTGCTCATTCTTCTGGTTGCACATGATGTAGAAACATGCTGGTCATGTAGTCATATGTGCATATAGAGTCATAATGTCTGATTCATTGTACTGTTTTTCCTAGTTACTAGTTTTAAGAAAAAGTATATAAGGGATATTTGCATTCTAATTTAAATATAATAATATTCAAATAGCTCCAATTGACTRAAGACTGAAGCATAAAATTAGGAATTAAATTTGTGCTTCAAAAATTCCACAGRCTAAAAGCTTATTTGCAAGTAAGCTTTCAGTATATACTGAAGAAAAAATTTTAGCTAAGATTATACAAAATAGACTCTGGTGATGAATGTTTTCTTAATACTATTAATATTGATATCATTTTTCCACTAAGGATATTACCAAATTGATTTCAAATTTATCATTATGCTACAGAAAAACAGTTACACTGGATAATTCTAAGTCCTTAATAGTGCATTTTTCTCCTTGAAGCTTCCCACACTGGAGTAAGTTTTTAGATTGAAGCCTTCTGTAAGATAGTGGATGCAAACTATTAGCATGAAGTTAGCTTGAGCATGGCTCACTGTTATGCTTTTGATTGATACACATTCTGGATCTCACCCCAGACAAACTAATTGAATAACATATAAAGGAGAAAATTGATGAGTGATTTCAGCATCTCCCAGTAATGCCCAGCAGGTACTATGAAGAATTATGCATATTCTATTAGCCCAGGGATTGCTGCATAAAACTTTTTATTAGCCATTCAACTCTAAAAAGATAAATTGTTCAACAAGCATTTATTAAGTACTTACTTTMTATCTAATACTAGGTTTTTCACAGTGGGAGAGACAATGATATTTTATTGTCAGTTGCATGGCCTCATCCTGAAGCCTTAATGTCTATTTGAGACAGTAAGACCTGTGAGCAGGAGACAATAAGGAGTGTGTGCATGCTGATTTCATGTGAGGTACAACCCAGAGGCTGAAAGGAATCAGAGAGAACTGGCATGCTCGTATGACACTTGTCAAGGCAGATTTTGAGTTTGGCTTTCTGTCTGAGCAGCATGATAAAATGATCTAATTGGTAAGTCATAGATCTTCAGTATAGAAGGATGTAATGGCATAGAAATTCTAAATGTCATTTTCAATCAGGCAGAATCAATCTGAGATATGCCCTGAAATCCCATTCTCTGTATTGCCTGTATGTCTTTAAGATGGTAACAAATAAATCGATGTATACTCATTAATACAATTGATGTGCACTAGCTTTGATGTCCCAGAATATGCATATGGTCTTCCTCTAGTCCCCAAATAGCCTCTCATCACCTACCCCATACATACCAACTTACACATAGGTAAACTCACTCATGGTGACTTTCCTCCCCTTGTGCTGGGTGAACAGTTTGTTTCTAAGAATTGTTGGTTATTTGTTTTTGTTTTGGCACTAGGGATTGAACCCAGGAGTGCTTAACCACGTCCCCAGTCCTTTTTTGTGTTTTATTTAGAGACAGGGTCTTGCTGAGTAGCTTAGGGCCTAGCTAAGTTGCTGAGGCTGGCTGTGAACATGTGATCCTCCTGCCTCAGTCTTCCAAGCTGCTGGGATTACAGACATGCAACACCTCACCCAGATTTCCACTTGTTCTTTAGATCCAAGCCCTCACTTGTTCCAAGATTTTCTCCTTCAGGTAAACGGGTTTTTTTATATAAATTTTAATTAGGCATATATGACAGCAAAATGAATTTTGATACATTGTAGACAATTGCAGCACAACTTTTCCTTTTCTGGTTGTACACAATGTAACGTCGCACCATATCTGCGGTCATACAGGTACCTAGGGTAATAATGTCCATCTCATTCCACTATCTCTCCTCTCCATGCACCCACTCTACCTTTCCCTCCCCTTTGCCCAAAGTTTCTCCATTTTTTTTTCTGCATCGTCAATTTCTCCTTTTCCACTGGATCAACCCCACTGACATTCATATSTTCTCTATCACTTCCCTTGGCTTCTCACCTCCAACCTCTATACCATTGTTTTCTACCCTCCAGAGCAAGCAGAAACATTGTTTTAATATTTTTTGCCCTCCATTCTTGCCTTGTCAACTCTGAGTTCATTTCTGATCCCAGTACTCACTGCAATCTCTCCATGTGGGGTCCTCAGTGACCTTCATTGTTGCCACATCTAATCATTATGTTTCTGTCCTCACTGCGCTTGAAGTCTTCTCAGCCATTTGACAGGGTGTAACACTCTAGCCCTGAAATATCCTGTACTGGTGGTTTCCAGGAACCCTGTCCTATACTGTTCCTCCAAATAGACTGCTTCCATCTCCTTTGCTGACTAGATTTCTGCTTTCAAACTCTCAGTGGTGAGGAACCCAAGGGCTGGGTCCTAGGCCCTCTCTTTCAGTTATACTTACAAACTGGATCCAGTCTTAGAGCTTCAAGTATTAGTCATAATTTGGCAACAACCACATTTTAAAAGTTCAGCACTGAATTCTCCATCACACTCCAGATATTTATATTTAACTGCTTCCTTGATATGTCTACTTGGATATAAAATAGACATTCCAAATTTAATACAATTTCAAACCAGACTCTTGGTTCCCTTCCCTCCTCTCCCACCGTTAGTAACCTTTCCACAGTCTTTCCCTAATTCAGCAAGCCGCACCAAGGCTGTCTGGAGTTTTATATTGCCTTGACCTTGCCCCCACTGAATCCCCCGTGATGCGCCAGCAGATACCAAAAACACATCCCGCATTGACCTACTTGTCCTCATTGTATAGCTACCATCATGTCTTGCCAGGATCACTAGGACAGTCTCCTAACTGCTCTTCCCCAACCATCCTGACTCCACCAAAATCTAGCTGCCAGAGTATCTTTTGAAAAACTTGATCAAGACACTTCTTGGTTTAAACTCCCCCACCCTGAAGTTGGCCTGGACTTTGTGCCCTCTCTAGCCTAATCTCCTGTTCTCCCTGCCATTCTGTTCTCCCATTGTGGACTTATTGCTGACACTTTTTGTCAGTGAGTATCACTTTGAATGGGACTTCCTCAAAAAGCCCTTCTCTGACCTCATAATGAAATTTAAATGAGTTAGTGGAACAGGGCAAGCTAAAGTAGTTGTTACTGATCACACCCAGTTAGTGAAATCCAACCAATGGGCATAGAATAGTGACAAGGCAAAAAGTTTGGGTGTTTGTGTCATCCTCGTTCGCCGAAGGAATTTCAATGTGCTTTGTTACTTCTTAGGTAACTAGATTACTACTGTGCCTTGTAAGTTTATTTCTTAAAGAACAAATGCATTATATTTGCATTCTACATTTGACACTCATGACTGACTTTACTAGCTAAGTCTTCAAATGGTTCATTGATATTKTCTAACTGATCTTTAACTACTGAAGACAATCACATCAGAAGCATTAGTATACTTCAGGCTTTTAGTTCTCTATGATATTATCAGATAGTATGATTGCTTTTTTAAAGGACCTAAAATATCACTTATTATCATATCAAAATTGCTCCGAGTAGCTAAGTAATAAAAGTGCCATTTATAGACTCAAATACAAATTCCTGGGGGCAGTTTTTACCACATTAGCTATGTATATGAGGATACAATAAACAAAATCATCTAGGGACAGGGAATATTAATCTGCTTGTTATTATTTTCTGCTTCAGCTATCCAGTTCTGTTATGTGGCAGAAGAGATCGGATTCCAATTTGTACATGTCTCTAAGATATTGCTTTCTTCCAAAATGCCTTACTTTTAACATCCCCAGTTGATATCTGCTGAACGTCA